TGTTGTGTATTTGGATGATAGAATGGAAAGAATAGAGATCTCATTCGCGTGCCTTAAGGTGTTTTTGTTTGTATTTAGTTGTTTTTTGTCGTGCGTGTTAAACAAAAACAAACAGAAAAAACAAAGATAACTTTTTTCGTTCTTAATCGTTCTTTTTCTGAATTCACTTCTAAGAAGAGAGAAGAACTTGCATTGTAAGTAGCGTGCGCTTTCGCGCAACGTTTTTCACAACTTTACCCCCAAACCCAATACAGATTTTTTTCTTCTCACTTCTTCCAATAATACCATTATTATTTTATTAATAGTAATTGATGCAAAACCCAAAAAAAAGGAACAAAAAACACAAAAATAAATCGCTTTTTCAATAACCAACCTCAGTATCATACGATTCTGGTGGAGGAACAGCATGGTAAGATGATGTATTGTTGTTGCTGCTGCTGTTAGTAGTAGTAATAATAGCATCATTATTATTATCATTATTGTTATTATTATCATTATCATCATCATTATCATCATCATCATTTTTTTTATCTTCGTAAGGTGAGTCCAAGCTTGATTGTGTACTGTTTAAATTCGACGAAGAAATTTGCTGCTGAGTTCCAGTAGTTTGTGAATCCAATGTAGTTGTATTGTCCTGGTATCCAGTTGAATAATCATAACCTGCATAACCATAATAATAACTGGGATCAGTTGCGTTCATGTTCGTGGATGCTGATGTTTGAGGATAATAGCTACTAGTGTACTGGGGATATTGATAATATCTCGTTTGATTGTAGGGATTATATGGATTATAGGCAGTATTAGTATTAGTATTAGTACTGTATGCGGCATTACTGCCACTTGGGTTATATGAATTTGTCCCATTAGAAGGTGAATGTGGTGGTCCAGGTGCAGTAGGAGTTGTAGGCGTAGAAGAATTAGATTGAGGTGTTGATGCTGGTAATGGTGGTGGTGGTGGATATGACGGTAATGGAGGCTGAGTTGCGGATGCCGACGGAACTGGCGGCGTTGGAGGTAAAGGTGGATTGCCACTTACTGGCGGTGGTGGTCCACTAGGCAACGGAGGGTTTGTTGGAGGCGGCGGGTATACCTATGTGGAAAAAAAGCAAATTTATTATTAATATTAATCATGGTAGCATAAAGAAAATTTTATATATTACCCCTCCTTGTGGTAATGCACCGTAGACTGGAGGCCTAGGATAAGGTGACCTTCCGAAAGGAGGAAATGCTGCCTGCTGTGCTTTATGTTTTTCCCATTCTACTTTTACAAAATTAATGAGATCCTGACACAGTTCTTTTGCTCTA